TTGCGCCTAATCATAAAAGCTTCATGAATCGAAGCGCCCAACATTGTAAGGCGCTTGCAGTTTTGAAATCGTCATTTGTTTACTTTTTGTGTTGGAAATAAAATTTATTTGTCAATTCAATAGAAAATAATTGGAAATGAACAATTTCGTGCTAAAATTCGTGCAAATTGCATTAAACCACGAGCGTTTATGCAATATTTCGGAGCAGAAATATTTGCGGAAGTGCGTGTTGCGAAAGAACGGCCAAAAAATTTGTTATGTGTAGAAAGTGTTTATTAGCTGGTGACTTATGCAGGGCGTGCAAGTGTGCAGAAGTCGAGTCGTCATGCATTCGTTCCGGTATGATGAAACGATTACTCTACTTTGATTAGGCGCGTAATGTACCGAGTGCCGAAGCCTGTGCAGAAGGACAAATGGGGCCAAATTAAATATTATGTCGGATAGTCAGGCAGGTTAAAGGCCTTAGACTCTTTTAAAAAGGCAGCAGGTTTGCGGACCACTTGGAAGCTCACAATAACGTAACGCTGTGGTGGGTTCCGGGACATGAAGGGTTTGAAGGCAACGAAAGCTGACTGTCTCGCAAAGCGTGGAGCCCAAATGCACTTGCATGGTCCCTAGCCTTTTGTGAGCTAGTGGAAGAAACCTCAGAGCATATACTATGTGACTGCCCACCTATCATATATAACAGACTGATACACATTGGGGAACGATTGTCTTCTTCATCCAACATTTTAACCATGGCGCCCTCCAAAGTGCCTAACTTCTTAAAAAGAATAAGGTTGGAGTGATTATAATTAGGGTTAAGCACAATAGATAGATGTGTAAAGAGACAAACATTTGTGTAAGTCTGTACAGTAAAATGAATTGTTATACGTTGTTAATTTGTTTTTATTGTACTATCTGTGTTTTAGTTTTTCTACATGTTGAGTTATCTACATTTTTAATAAACTTAACATAAAAAAATATTAAAAACTTAAATAAAATTTTGGTAGGTTTTGGTTGAGTTTGGTAGGAAGTTTAGGTAGGAAAAAAATTTGTCCGTGGCAACACTGCTGGTAATGCCAATTTTATTCAGTATCATTTAGGACACTGCACACTTTGCGATGAACTTTGTTAAGTGTTGAGTTTATTTGCTCATTTCCCGCTGCTAAAAAAAAAACTCTAAATCAATCTCGCTTTAGTAGGATATGTATTGTACCCAATAAACATCAAACAAATTGTTCAACCTTTGGGAAATTTTTATTTCTCAAGTTGATGGCTCACATCGTTCTTCAAATGTTCTCAAACCTTGGAGAAAACTCTCAAGTTGATATCGAAGATAATTTTGCAGACGTTTTTAAGTCTGTACAGTTATACAAATTATTCTTAGAAAGTAAGAAAAATTAAAGCCCGATTAGAAATTTGTTCGTGGCGTTTCAAATTAAAATCGAAAACTACTTATATATTTCATTTTTATTTCAGTATTGCAAGCATACATTTCGGACCAACTGGAGAACAAGTTTAGAAATACATTTTTTCTCAAGTTGTGAAACATAACTATTTCCTTAAAAAATTCCCTTTTGTTGGGTAGGCATGATTTCACGATTGAAAAAACAATGTTGATGATTTGAGAAGTACCTCGGTTCTCAAAGTAACCTAAATTTAAACTCAAACCTAAATGTTTATTGGCTACATGTATAATTAGTTTCTTTTTTTAATTCTGTTTGTCCTTTAAATTAAGTGTAAACACAGTGTGCCGTTCTTGAGTAAAATTTAAACATAGTTTTAACTAAGTTTAAACGCCCAATCTGGCTCAGTTAAACCGAGTTTAAGCTATTAGCTATTTGGCTGCATATTTGCCATCAGCTACGAAAATATAGATGAAAGAAGAGAGAAACAATTATATAAAATTCTTAGTAAAATATTCGAAAGCCGAATTATTTAGGGAAAATTTGTAAAGCAACAAATAAGTAAGATGTTTTTAGGAAATTTTAAAATTGTGAAGAAGGAAATTAACCAACGCAATTTGGTTAGGAATTTAACTTGCATGGGACATTTTCGGTCGCCAAAACATAAATCACCTACAAAATTCTTTGAATTAAAATCTTTCAGAACTTTAGCACGCGATCATTTTAAAAATGAAAATAAATACACATGTAGCTGCAGTTTTGTGATCTACGGAAAGAAAACAAGCGTTGCCCTACAACGCAATTGCAACGGACGACGGTAAAGCGGTCGACGGTTAACCGCTGTCAAAATTAAAACTCGCAAAGGCATATGGAATGGTCAATAATTACGGCGGCAGCGTTTTTACCACCGACGTTTTTCAGTTTATTTAAATTTACTTATATTTTTATGGCCCAGCGGGGACCGCACAATGTTGATTGAGTGTTGATTGTAGTAATTTTTATTATTTTCACAAGTTTGCCAATGTTTTCATCCATTTTTTCTTCCAGAAAATCTACATACGTACATACATGCCCGTACCGAAAAAAAATTTAATTTTAATTAAAATTTTCAAATTAAAATGACTATTGACGGCAAGGCACATAAATACAGGTAGCGGCCAAAATGACGTTGCTCTCATGAGAACCAAACCTTTAAACTTCAACATGGTTTTCTTTTAGTTCCTATATTTCGTTACGCTTTAAATATCATGTCGTTTTTTTTTTTTTTTTTTATGTTCGTTAAAAACAAATTTTAATTAACATTTAAATTTTTGTAGTTTTGTGCGGTTTATACTTAGTGTATGTGTTAAAAATGCAACACCTGAAGCGTTCTTTTTATGTGATGTTAAATATAAATCAGATACCACTAATTTTTTGAACGTGCCTCAATGTCCATAGCGTAAGGAGCGTTGCGAAAGCAGCTATGGGGCCGAGTGCAGCGAAATGCCTTGCTGTGCGTTAAACATTTTAAAGCAGCCGATTTTATAAATGCACCGGGAGGTACAGGAAAGGCACGTTTGATGCCAAGTGCTGTTACTATGACTCTTATGCCGGAAAGTCCCTCCAACAACACTGCAACTCATAAATCAAAGACAGAAAAAACAAACAAGTTTTAACTAAAGAAAATAAATAAATAAAATTAAACTTCAAATTTATTTAAAAACGTCAACCAGTAAAAATTATATTTTATTTTTCCTTACACACGCTTATTTTTATTTTTACTCTCCCGAAAACTTTGACTTTTGTAGATTTGACGTCAAATTGGCCTGTTTTTATACCTGTACCCGAACCTGTTTTCATTGTACCATGTATTGACGGAAGCCGTCGTGCTCCGCAAACATGATTCAATAATTAAAGGTTTGCTCATTAGTGACATTAGAGTTTTGACACTCCCTTAGCTCCCTTAAACTAAGCGTAAACGGTAGGGAAATCTCTCGAGAGTTTCACTGAAATAAAAATCTCCTCTCTCAATTAAGTTTACACGGTAGAGCAACTCTAGGAGATATTCACTCTAGCTAGACACAATATAGAGAAATCTCAACTTTTATCTATCACGTACTCTACAAGCTGTGTACACGGTAGACAAGAGTTATCTCTCGCCTAGAGTTAGTTTTCTATCTCGAATTGTTGTCAACGCTTGTTGTATGTATATATGTATTTGTATCAAAGTCACGATGTAGAAAATATAGTTGGCGCCATCAGCGGAGCGCTAACCCTTCGTCGATTTGACAGCATTCACCTATTTTCTGACGTCGTAAAATACATTTTTGCAATATGTACAAGAATTAAATTTTCGAATTATACTTATTTGCCGAAAAAAATTGTAGGTACCTAAAAGTAGACAAATGTACCTATTTTTTATAAATTAAACATGGCAACCTCTCTCTTGGGTACTATGTGTACTTTTGGACTCGCATCAAACAACCTTTAATATATAAAATTCCCATGAAAGGAGTTTCTCCGAGCAGTTCCAGCCAAACTACTATATATATGTATGTAGGTATTCACCAAGTTGAGCAAGTGGCCTGGCGCTCTGACAAAACAGCAGATATCTCATGCAACGACTGTTGCCAGAGTGCCAGACCACCTGCTCAATTTGTGAATACCCCTTATGTTTTAACCAATAATTATGGCCCTTTGCAAAGGACGGAGGCTATTGGAAAAGCCATTGAAATACCAATGAAAATAAGAGGATGATTCCCGGTACATTATTTGGCTACATTCTAATTGCACTTTAAATTGTGTGCTTGTATCGAATATACGACTTAATGTCGTAGCCATTTCAAAATTTAACAATCTGTAATGAAGTTCATTGTCAAGACTTTACTATACGTCTCCGTAGAGCAAAAAGTCTATTTAGCTTGCTAAATAGAGCGTAGAGTTGTCGTAAAGTTTTGGATCTAGCTTTGTTGGACTGTGTACACGGCGAAAAAGTCTCGCTAAATAACTTTCACATAGACTTTGTAGGTGACTCTCTCGTAGAGCTTAGAGATGGGCACGGGACTAAATATTTAATCCCGATCCCGCCCATCCCGAAATTCGATTTTTAAGTCCAGAACCCGCCCATCCCGACGTTTTTCAGAGTTGTACCGCGGGTCCCGATATATATCTCTAAAGCAGGCTACAAACGGACCACAAATTGAAACGACGGTTGAGATTTCAACGTGTGTGGCGTGGTTCACAAACCGATCGAAGGTTGATAAAAATGTTCATGTCTTTCGAATTAATTTCAAATAATAATGAAAGATCTGGCATCTCCCGATTTTGTTTTGCTTTGCTTTTCGTTTTCGTCTCAATTAAATAACTTTCGGAGTGCATATTTCAAACATCGTTTTTAATTATGATTTTATGAATTTGCGGGGGTTGCGGTTTTATCGGGAGTGTCGGGAAAGGATTTGGGTCCTGTCCCGCCCGCCATATTTTTACAGATCTTCCCGATAACGCCCATCCCGGCCAATTTTAAATCAGTACCGAGGGTCCCGCGGGTCCCGCTATCCCGCGCCCATCTCTAGTAGAGCTCTATTGAGTGTTTACACGTCTCTAGCGAGATTTTTGTCTAAATCTCGCGTTTTTTCTCTACCGTGTACACTTAGCTATAGGCTTTGTAGGTGAGTCTCTCGCAGAGCTCTATTGAGTGTTTACACGTCTCTAGCGAGATTTTTGTCTAAATTTCGCTTTTTTTCTCTACCGTGTACACTTAGCTTTACAAAAGCTTTGCACACACACACGAACCCACACACAGTGCCTTGCTAAGGGAGCCGATTTTGTCAAGACGGAGCGAGACAACTGTTTTTTGAGCAAACCTGTTATTATTGAATCATGCTCCGCAAATGTGTTTACTCTGACGGATTTCATTGCGGCAACTGTTCAGCTGTTCACTTACCGCAAACCGCTTTACCGTCGTCCGCTGTAATTCTGGATAGAACTTAAATGCTCTAGTGAAAAGGTACGAAATAACGCGATGCATTTTCAACAGATTTATGATCCTAGTTATGGGCAGTGAACTCATTCTTTGGTACAATTTATGGAAAAAACAGAAAAAGAACTTGTCCAAAAAGATTTGAAGGATGCTGAAGCGATAAATATGTAGGTGTATTTCCATTTTGAGCGCTTTTCCATGCACAACAGAGACTGTACAGCGATCGTTTAGTACACTTCGTAGAGTAAAAACCTGGCTCAGAAGAACAACAGGAGGAGAAAGGCTTTCTGAATTATGACTCATGAGCGTCCATAGAAAACTCGAAAAACGCTTAAAATGATTAAAAAATATATCAAAAAATTAACAAGTATGTATATTTCGTTCGTTCCCCTTAGATAAGATCCTGGTTACGCCCTTGGTATGTGCATTCAGACCTTAGCATTGTCATTGTTTTTTCCTTAAAAAACCATATGCCTTAGATTTCTGCTAGTGTTTATTTTAGACTTGCTTACACTAAATACGTAAGGCGTTGAGTTAATGCAAAGCTTAAGTAAGCATACGTTTTTTTGAAATACCTACTACTAAAAAAATATATATTTTTTTTGTATACAAAATTGTTTCACTGTTGTTTATGCGATTTCTGCAAACAAATTATGTACATACAATAATAAAAAGGTGCTAACTAGCGCGTTTTTTTGTTAATAAAAAAGTTCTTAAAGAACGAAAAATATAAATCTGCAAGTTTTTATGTTTATACGCATGGACGTACATGTATGTATGTATGTAAGTATGCATGTATGTATGTACATACATTAGAGTGGTGCAAAAAATTTTTTTGCGAGTTAGGGTTTGGGGCACATTCCAAAATTTTTCCTCTTACCGAAAGAGGTGCTGGTACCAAACTTTGCGTTTCAAAGTATAAATTTAGAAGGTGCTCATAATGCTCATATTTTACTCTAGAAGTATTGTGTGCATATATTAATCAAAGAAATGGATAAAAAGAACCTAAGAACACTTTAAATTTAAATTATTTGAAA